ACCACAACCATTTCCGGGTCCAGTTCCTCCTCCGAGGTCACCAGCAGTGACGTCATCAGAGTTCCGCCCAAGTCTACCAGAAAGATTTTCTGGAAACATGAAAGATTGCAAAGGATTTTTATTTCAGTGTCGTTTGATTTTCATGAACTCCCCTGGTAGCTTTCCCACGGACTACAAGAAGATAACTTTTATTCTCTCGCAGCTAACTGGAAGAGCCTTGGAATGGGCTCAGGCCAGATTTGCCTCAGACGATAGCTTAAACTGCTATTTCTCTGACTTCATCTCAGAATTCAACCAGGTATTCAACCAAGAAACTGACCAAACAATTGATTCCAGAGCTCTTTTTTATCTCAAACAGGGAGATTCTTCGGTGGCTGAATTTTCAATTAACTTCCGGGTTAAAGCGGCAGCTTCCGGATGGAACCAAAGCGCCCTGAAAGGAGCCTTTTTCATGGCATTAAACGAGCAGATTAAAGATGAACTCGCAACCCTCGACGAACCTGCTACCCTCGAAGATTTAATTCGCCTCTCCATCAGATTAGACAATAGAATTCGAGCCAGAAACAGTTCTAAGAAGCAGAATACATTTTCTTCTGCCTCACATAACGAGACTGTTTGTTCTTCCCCTACAGAGCAGTTGCCCACTCAGAGGTCTAAGCCCCAGTCTCTACCATTGCCTGTTCAGGCCTCTCATTCGGGGAAAAGGGATGTCGAACCCATGCAGGTTGGACACACTAGGCTCACTCCAGAGGAAAGACAGAGGCGTTTTCTAAGCAAACTATGTATCTACTGTGGTGATAGTGGACACTTCATCGCCTCCTGCCTGGCTAAATCAAAAGCCGGGGCCCGCCAGAGGATCTGAGGAGTCTGGCGGGCCAAATAAACACAAAGAAATCTCCTCGACTGTTACTGCCTGCCACGCTTTACTGTGATAATCAAAGCCTCTCTTTCTCCGCTTTTGTCTACTCAGGCTGTGAACGTAACCTAATCGACTCTAACCTCGTCCAGCAACTCCAGATTAAAACCATTCCTCTCTCTCAACCCCTCAGTGTATCCGCTATAGACGGAAAAAGACTCCATCGAGTTACCCACCAAACCCAGCCCCTCGAGCTACTTCTGTCAGGTAACCACCGAGAGACTATAACATTCTTTGTTTTTCCCTCTGCATGTTCCCCGCTGGTTCTCGGGTATGAATGGTTGGAGAAGCATAATCCTCACATTAACTGGACTAAACGTCACCTGGAATCATGGTCCACTACGTGCCACGAGACATGCCTTCGTTCTGCTGCCCCCGTGGTGGGGTCTCCTAGAGGTGGGGGGGAGATGGACTCTCCTGACCTTTCTTCAGTTCCCCCCGAGTACCATGACCTAGCCCCTGTCTTCAGTAAGGTCAGTGCGACGTCCCTACCTCCACACAGACCGTACGATTGCGCTATTGAACTTTTACCTGGTGCTCCTCTTCCTAGCAGCCCGAAAGAGAAACAATGGAAAAATACATCAACGAATCATTAGCTGCTGGAATAATTCGTCCTTCATCCTCTCCATTGGGCGCCGGTTTCTTCTTCGTGGGNTGACATATCATTGAAGAAATTATTTTAGGATCGATGTCCTGCTCATAATCAAGCGTGTTATGATTCGTGTACGTGAAAGTTTGTAGCGTGGAGGAAATCCCACCCAATCCATCGCATGCGTTTGACGCTATAACTCGCTTCTGCTCCTCAAATGAGTGATGGTGGATCATTTTGGTGTATTCCCCTGCCACAGTATCATTACATTTGTCCATGTCCATAAAGGTTTCAGCCATAGCCAGGTGTAGTGTGCGCGCACGGCTCGATTAGCAGCAGACTTAGCCCGCACACAGCCAGCATATCCATTCATATCCATTCAAAAGAAGGAACTGCGTTACCTTGTTGTCCAGTCCGTTGACTTCACATGTACTTATCCAAATCCGACATCTCACGGACGACGAGCACTTTCGCATCCTCAGGCGAGCCCAGAAGTTTCACAAACACTTTACAATCTCTCACCCACGTCACTTGGATCTTGTTTTGCTTCCTCAGGTAGCGCGCCTTCCCTGTGATATCCACATTTTTCTTAATCAGATGGTCATTTACGTAAACATTGGTCCCACAAAGTTTTCATCCTTGTTGCATCAAGTCTTTTATGTTTTCTGTTCGCAAAGCGCAGTATAATTGACGGCTTGTCACTTTGATTTCTGCGCGGAAGGGGGTGGCACCCTTCAATCCAGTTTTCATCAATGGAGATTTCCTTACTATCAAAGAAGCGCAGCACTTGTTGCTCCAGTGATATTAACTCCGCGTCAGACAAATCTTCGCCAGATGCCCCAGCCGTGGCTCTGGCGTAGGATCGATGTCGTGATTCCAAGCCGGTTATGATAACGTCATTGACGCGAGAGTACTGCTCCATATCAGTTACTCTAGTCTCCAGCATTTTGATTTTGGCATCCTTTTCTGCATTTTGCTTTTTTAACTCCCGAATCTCGCCCCTGAAGTTCATAATGGTGCTCTGTTGTTTTGATATTTTTGCAATTTCCTCAGAAAGAAAGTATAGGGACTGTTTGATTTCAAACATTTCCAATGCGTTCTGCTCATCTGTCCCTTCACACCTCTCAGCAGCCATTTTGTCAATGTTGAATTTCTATTGAACTGGTCACAAGGTAGTGGAAGCATTTCCTGCTGCAGAAAGAGCCAAAGATCTGAAAGACTTGGATGACATACCCCTGCAAAGGAGTTTAGGGGGGCTTTGGAGTCTCAAAAATGACTGTTTCACTTTTCCTGCCACAACTGATAAAAGGCCATTCATCAGAAGAGGTGTCTTGGCCACTGTTAACACTTTATATGACCCATTAGGTTTTGTTTCACCCATCACAATGCAGGGAAAAGCTCTTCTCTGTGACCTACCCATAGAGCAAAAAGACTGGGATGAACCAATTCCTGCAGAAGGAGAAGAGGAATGGGACAAATGGAGAAATTCTTTGAAAGATCTGGAGAAGCTACAAATACCAAGGTGCTACTTTTCATTCTCCCAGTCCATAGCTGCAAGGAGAGAACTATGCATATTTTCAGATGCCTCCACCATGACCATAGGAGCAGTGGCATACCTGAGAGCTCTCGACAATGAAGGTCAGTGGCACATAGGTTTCATCATTGGCAAGTCCAAAGTTGCCCCTCGACCCGCTCACACAGTTCCTAGGTTAGAATTATGCACAGCAGTGTTAGCTGTAGAAATGTACAAACTCATTAGAGATGAGATGAGCATTGAATATTTTACTGTATTATTTTGGTGACATTAAAGGAGGGTGTAGATCCAAGACGGTGGAACACAGCACCTGTTGGGAGCTGGGGAAGATACCATCCTTCTCCAGCAGAGTCCGCTGTGGATCCTCTGAGGGAGCCTCCTGCGCAGCTGCAGCTCGTCAACATCATCAGAGGATCCTA